TTTAAAAATTGATAACTTCTGTATTTCTTATCGGTTTTACATATATAATATATCAAATTAATCATCTTTTGATGATCTTCGATTTGACATCCATATTGCATATATGAAATAAATAAATTATATTTATCTTTATAATAATAAAAAATAATTATATTTATTAAAATTCATTAGAAAAATAAAATTATTTTCCAATTGATATATTTATATGTAATATAGTTATATATTGTAAGTTAAAAAAATTAGTATAATATAACACAAGTAAGTTGCACAAATAAAAAGTGTCATAATAAATATATAATAATATATATAATTTTATAAAAGGTATTTAAATTTTCAAACTACTTTTTCTCATTAATTTTAGATTTTAAGAAAAAATTTAGCAAGCACCCGTGTAATACACGGGTGTTGTACTAGTAATATTATAACCCACAAGTAAATAAAATTACAAAGCTTAATGTCCCCTTACGTCATTGCAATTTGGGGAGCTTATTTAATTAAAAAAATAATTGTGGAAAAAATAAAACACAAAAAAATAATGTGGACAAGAATCAAACAGACGGATTATGAAAAACCGTTTTTCTTAGAAAAACATATTTCCATAATCCGTTTTTTTTAAACGGATTTTCAAAATCCGTTTTTTAATTTTTTCTTTTTTAGATCGGATTGTGAAATTCGAGCTCGTTAGGGCTCGTCCGAACTCGGCATTGAGTTCTGTTTTTTTTCTACATGTCGCCAACGAAGCCTTCTACGTATTTATGCTTTTGAATCTAATTTATTCTTGAAAACCTATTCTCCCAAAGGTTTTGACCTGAAGTTGGCAGCTTCCATGCACGACTTCGTATATCGAGCCCGTTTGGACTCGTCCGAACTCGAAATTGAGTTTCAATTCTTTGTACATATCGCCAACAAATCTGTAGTGTTTCGATATTTTGTTATTTTCTTTTGTAAATTTTCTGTAACAAATTCTAATAAGAATGGAGGAAGAAGATGAATTGGGTAGAGAGAGAGAGAGAGATGAGAGAAGAGAGAGATAGTGGAAGATAGAATTGTTGTAACTAAAATTGATTCCCTCATACATTTTCCAGCCACTTATAAACAAGTGGTCCCAAAATATTTTGTTTTCTGTTTTTTCACCAACAAGTAAAATATGACTTAATAAAATGAACAATTGAAAAGTGCTAATTTGGCAAATGCATCACGCGCCCACATGCATTTCTGTTGAGGTTGCCACGTGTCCGTGCTCCTTCATTTCCAAGGTCAAAGTCTCCCTTTTGTCTTCATTTTTGAATTCCCTTTTTTCCCCAATTCCATTTCCCTCAAGAACCCTAATTTCCTTAAACACATTATTCCCCTCAATTTCACTCTGATCCACAACATTTCCCCCCGGATCAAGAGATCCTTGTCCGCAAGGATCAAAAGTTGGAAACTTGCGACGGATAAAGCTCAAGTCTTCCCAAGAAGACGAGTTCCAGCCAGAACCAGCCCATTGCACTAAGATTTTCTGCGCAGTTTGGTGGCCCCGTCGGACTTCACGGCGATCCAGAACAGACTTCGGTTCAATTTTCAAGTTGCCGTCTCCATCGACGGACGGTAGTTCACTTTCAGGTAACCCGTTAATCCCAATGTGTTTCTTTAACAACGAGACGTGAAATACTAGATGGATCTTAGACCCTTCAGGTAGTTCCAATCGATAAGCCACTGCTCCCACCTTTTCTAGGATACGATAAGGCCCATAGAACTTAGCAGAAAGTTTGAGATTTTTTCGCAGAGAGACCGAGTTTTGTCTATAGGGTTGCAATTTGAGAAAGACTAGGTCCTCTACCTCAAAGACCCCTTCTTGTCTGTGTTTATCCGCGTATTGCTTCATTCTGGATTGGGCCTTGGTAAGATTATCCGTGATTTCTTGAAGCAATTGATACCTCTCCTGCATAAATTCCTTCACTTCGAAGTTTTCAGCCCCTAGATATTGACTTGGGGTTAAGTTAGGGGGCTGATAACCGTAAAGAGCCTTAAATGGTGTCATTTTAAGGCTACTCTGGTAGTTGGTGTTATACCAGTATTCTGCATGTGATAGCCATTTTGTCCAACGCTTAGGATGACTGTGGGTCATGCACCTGAGGTAACTTTCTAAGCATTGGTTGACTCTTTCTGTTTGGCCATCTGTTTGAGGGTGGTAGGAAGAGCTCATGGCCAATGTAGTCCCCATAAGCCTGAATAACTCTTTCCAGAAAGTGCTAGTAAAAACCTTGTCTCTATCTGATATTAAACTGACTGGTTGCCCATGTAGCTTATATATAGAATCCATGAACACTTGAGCCACAGTTTGAGCAGTGAATGGATGAGACAAAGCCGAGAAATAGGCATACTTAGTCAACCTGTCCAAAACTACTAGAATCACTGTCTTACCCCCTGAATTTGGTAGCCCCTCTATGAAGTCCATAGAGATATGACTCCAAGGTTGTTCTGGAATTTCCAATGGTTGTAGTAGGCCAGGATAGGCTCCAGAGTCAGACTTGCTTCTGGCACACACCTCACATTCTTTCACCCATTTAATCACATCTTGCTTTATTTTAGGCCAATAGAAAGTCCTGTAAAGCCTAGCATAGGTACCATGGATTCCTGAATGACCACCATAGGAAGTATTATGAACCTCACTTATAATGTGGTTCCTTAGTGCTGAGTCATGCCCCACCAAAACCTTGCCCTTGCATCTGATGACCCCATTAGTAACCGTGAAGGTAGGATATGAGTTTGGGTCCAAAGGCTTAGATGTGAGGATTTTTGTAGCAAATTCATCTCCCTCATAACTGTTGATTATTTGTTGCACCCACTTAGGAATGACTGTGGTTATGGCATCTAGAGTTGTGATTTTCCCTGTCCTTCTTGATAAAGCATCTGCAGCTTTATTTTCAGAGCCACTCCTGTATTGGATATCATAGTCCATGCCAAGCAGTTTAACCATCCATTTCTGTTGCATAGCAGTGCTAACCTTTTGGGTGAGAAGATACTTCAGAGACTGTTGGTCAGTTTTGATGATAAACTTCCTTCCCTGTAAGTAGTGCTTCCATTCTTGGACTGCCATGATTACAGCCAGAAATTCTCTTTCATAAATAGAGAGTGACTGATTCCTGGGGCATAATACCTTACTCATGTAAGCCAAAGGCCTTCCCTCCTGCATCAAAATTGCACCCAATTCCGTTTCCACTAGCATCAGTTTCTAGTGTGAATGGTTTAGAGAAGTCAGGTAGTGCTAAAACAGGTGCTGAGGTCATTGCTTCCTTCAGCTTATTGAAAGAATCCTCTGCTTCCTTGCCCCAGTGAAATCCATCTTTTTTGAGTAAATCAGTTAAGGGTCTACTGATCAGCCCATAACTTTTTATGAACTTCCTGTAATATCCTGTCAACCCCAAGAACCCCCTTAGTTGTTTGAGTGTGGTGGGAATGGGCCACTTAAGCATGAAACTAATTTTCTCTGGATCAGTTGCTACTCCTTCCTTGGAAATTATGTGTCCCAGATATTCTACTTCAGTCTTGCCAAATTGGCATTTGCTGAGCTTGGCATAAAGTTTGTGTTGCCTGAGTAAGAGCATAACCTCCTCTAAATGCTTGAGATGGTCTTCCCATGTAGGGCTGTATACTAAGATGTCATCAAAGAATACTAGTACTGATTTCCTCAAATGTTGCCTGAATACTTGATTCATCAAAGACTGGAAGGTAGCCGGTGCGTTACACAATCCAAAAGGCATCACCAAGAACTCATAGTGCCCACTATGAGTTCTGAAAGCTGTATACTGTCTGTGTTCAGGTTTAACAAGGATTTGGAAATAGCCTGCCCTCAGGTCCAACTTAGAGAAGAATTTTGCCCCATTAAGTTCGTCAAGGAGCTCATCAATTATGGGAATAGGATAGACATGTTTAACTGTAAGGTCATTCAAATACCTATAGTCTACACATAACCTCCAAGTCCCATCTTTCTTCTTTACTAGTATGACTGGAGCAGCAAATGGGCTCTTACTGTCTTGTATGATACCAGAACCAACCATTTCCTGTATGATTTTTTCAATTTCCTCCTTGTGTTTGTGTGATTTTCTGTAAGGGAACTGTTGTTTGGGAGCACTACCTGGCTTGAGAATAATTTGATGTTCAATTCCCCTCTCAGGAGGTAGTCCTTGTGGTTCTGCAAATATGTCATGATAAGAGTCAAGTAGTTCAGTTAACCTTGTTGCTGTTTGTTTTGGCTGGGACTTTTAGGTGGCACTGGTAATGAGGTAGATAGCCTCCACTTGTGAGTCCATGGAATGGTGAGTGAGTTTGTAAAGAGATGGTGCAGATACAAACCTGCAGTCAGCAGTTGAAGTTAGGGCTTGTATTTTGACCTTCTTTCCCTTGACCCTTACTGTAAAAGTCATCTTATCATAATCAAGTTCCACTGGTGTGTAAGACTTAAGCCAGTCCCCTCCCAAAATTAAATCACAGCCCTCAGTTGCCAAAATTCTAGGGGAATAAGTGAATTCCTGCTCCTGCATTGTCCACCTTA